CTGATGTAGACTTTTGGATTCTTTAACGTTATTTCCCCTTTATTCTCCATTCAGCAGTAATTTCTATTAATATATTAATCTGTATCTTGTCAAAATATATATTTTCACTCAGTGTTTGTTATTTTTCAAAAAATGAATTAAGTTGTGCATTCTATCTTACAATTGTATTCTAAGCAACATTTTGTGAGAATTATTTCCTGTTTGTGAGAATTTATTTTCCATTAAACATTTTCCTATGGCACTTGAATGACTTTGGGTTACTCTTTCAAATAGAATAATCTCTTTTTGGACAATTGTCCAAACCCTAACATAAGCTACACTGTGATCATGTCTTTGATGTGTAGTATCTTTGAACTTCAGTAAACATTCCTTTATCTTTTTATCTTAATATTATTTTATTTATCTTAATATATTTTTAAGTGGGACAATTGGGCTAAAGACTGAGAATTTTTAAGGGTTTTCATTATTGCTAAGTCACCTTTTAGTATTGATCTTTATACATAGTAACACACATAAGACAAAAATGATTATCTTTCATTGTGTGGCCAGTCTGTCTCCCATTTACCACCTGACTGGTGGTTAGCTCTTCTGTCAGTCTAGCAGGTTTTCATATGAATTGGCTATTTGATGTTCAGGATGCCACACCAATCAACTATAAATTATTCTAAACCAATGCATTTTTTTACAAAGTCTTTCTCTCTCAAAACTTCAAATAAAATAAACCTGGTCATATAAACTGGATAATGTGCAGGTATTTAAGTAAATTTAACTTGCGTTGTTGTGATCCATGAACCTTTGTTTAAAAATCCTCATTAACTTGCAGTACCACTCAGACTGAAAGCTTAAAGATGTAAGGACATTGAACTACTTTTAGTGATCTGTCTCCTGACTATCTCTGACCTTGTTTACTATTAACACTTTCTTCATTCCTTCTTGTTCAATCCACTGGCTGACTTACTGTTGTTCAGATACTCTAGGAACAAATCTCAGGACCTTTGCGCTTGTGATTCTTTTATCCTAGATTCTTTGTCCATATATATACATGGTATATGTCCTTTACTGACATGCTACTTCTAAGGGAGGTACTTTGTGGTCACTGCCTGAAAAATGCCAATCTCTCCTTATCATATTTCATCCCTGTTAATGCTTTGTTTTTTAGTGGTTGTAGTTCAGTAACATATGAATTATTTTACTTTTGCATGTTTTTGTTGTTTATCACCCTAACTAGAATGTTATCTCACTAGAGTAGGAATTTTGGTCATGTTTGTTTATTGCTCTAGCCCCAGTATTAATGATAGCACTTGGCACATAACACCTACTCAATAAATATTTGCTAGGAAGTGATTCCATTTACAAATCCTCCATTTGCAAATATTGGATGCCAGGCTCACTCTCTGTCACAAGAAATTTTCTTCATCTAGTAGACACAGTCTGGTTGATTTCTACTTCCTTTTCATCCTCTGTAGTTCACAAGAAAAATATCACAGGTGGTACATTTGTCTATTCCATTTTTCTTCTTTTTTGAAGGAATTGTGTGAACCAGGACAAATGGTTTATGTTTTCTTAGTATTTTTCGTCAGTGAAAGGAATATTACCTTTTCTCCCTGTCGACTTGTGGTTATATTAAATGCAATAATATAAGCAAAAAGTACCTGGCATGGTACACAGAACAATTTATATTTAGAAAAAAAGATGTATACAGTTATCTTCCCTTTTTCCCTTTAGAATTAGTAGTTTTAAGGAAAATATATTTACTGAGCAATAAGGTGGAGTGAGGCAGTAAAGATGCTAATAAAAGAAGTCAAGTGTCTGTCTTTACTTCCAATGCAACATGAATATAAGTACATCAGTGAAACTTATTCTTCACAACCTTCAATTCCTGCCATCTTCTGGTTGTCTCCTACTAAAAGAAATTATGTTGGTGAATTGCTAAGCATTGTGTGTTTCTAAGGTTAGGATCTTTGGGAAGGTTTTTCCAAATATAGCATCCAGTTCTCTTCTTCAAAGAGAATATTTTGGTTTGTTTAATTTAGCTATTTTTATTCACAATGTAATACTTGGATTTCTTGTCTTCTTGATGATAACTACTAGCTAGTTCATTATATCCTGAGCATTATGAAGCAGATGTTTCTAGAACAATTTTGAAATGGGACTTTGGGAGTCCTTCTAGGAAATTTCCGTAACAACAATTATGATCTTTTTCATCCCACTGAGGGCCCTTATTGGACTCTGGGTTCTTAGAGTCCTAGGAATTGTCAGTTTGTCTAAATGTTCTCTTTGTGTGTCACTACCTTTAAAAGATCTTTTCCACATCCCCTAAGTGAATATCAAGGAAAGGTCAATGAGATATTGAAATTAACTAATGCTGAAAATATAAACTTATTATCTAAGTAATCTGAATGGATAATACTTTTTATTGTTCTTAAAATTCAGTCAAGTTAATTATTTAGAAGAATATTCTCTGTAATAGTTAACTTATAATAAGGCAATAACTTATAATAAGTTAACTTATAATAAGGCAACTTATAAGTTATAACTTATAATAAGTTAACTTATAATAAGGCAATAACAAGCAGCTAAATGTTAAATATGTAATCTTTATACAAAAATGCTTAGGTTTGTCTGCAAGTTTGTATGGTTTCCGCTTACTTAAAATTTTGTCAGTGTTTCGCTGTCCCTTTCCTGTGTCTTCATTAAAGTGAGGTTATTCTCACTTATTGTCACTCTTCCCACACCCCTTTCTCCCACCGAAGTAAGAAGAGCAGAGTGACAACATGTTTCATAAGAATCCACACTGAGATGGCCTGACGTAATCAGTGAGGTTTTATCTGTTAGTTTGCTTTTCTTTTAGGCAACAAGTACTAGAGCCACAGGCAGGTACATTTGTAGGTTCCAGAGTCACTTGTTGACCAAGCCTCATGATGTTAAGAACTGTGGAGAATTTGAACTCCAGATGATGGGAGTGATAAACTGAACTTAATAAGATAAACTGTTAAAATAGCAGATTTATTTTAGCAGTTGTTTCCCACCCTGGTGGGAAGGGGAACAGACTCATCGTGAAGAGAATGTGTTCCCTTCCAAATGTGTTTCCTAATGTGTTCTAGAAGCTTCTGTTCCTGTCATCAGTTTGCTTGTCTGTGCACTGTTCTTTCCATGCTGAGCTCTGCTGGGTTGCTTCCTGTCATCATCACAGCTTTTTTCTTTGTGTCAGTTTAGAGGGATACTCAGGTACATATCTAGATTTTTTAAAAAGATTTATTTATTTATTTATGCACACAAGAGCTGGGGGTATAGGCCAGAGTTGTAGAGAGGTGAAAAGATTCACCAGAGACTGATTGGGGAGCAGGACAGGCAGATCTACTGAAATACACTGCTAAGGGGAGCAGAGGGAGAGACATGAGAGGTCTGCTGTGCCATGTGGGTTAGCTCCTTAGCCAGAGACTGAACTTGTGCTGCAGTGGCTGCCAATAGCTTGATAGCGCTGAGATTTAACCCCTTGTGCCACCAGGGAGACCCATAACTAGATATTTTTATAAAGCCAAAGGAAAATGGTGTTAACGCTTCCAAATATGTGGATTTCCTCCCATGCTTTGATTGTGATAGGAGAATGGACAGCTTTGCAGTCTAGAGGAGAGATTTCATAAAATACTTTCCCATGTTTTGTCATGAAATGAAAATATTTGAGAGCTCTTGTTAAGCAGAAATATCTGCTCAAGTTACTTACTGCTTTACCTCAGCTGTGACCATATGGTTTTGTTCTTGAAGCACTGGACTGGGACTTAGGAACTGTGTTTTAACATTCAAAAGTCCATATTCTGTTATTGATGCCAGCTGAGCCACCATCCATAATATGTGAATAACATGCTCAACTTTTCTAGAAAGTAAAGAGTAGTAATAAATTGTTCCCTTCATTTTAAAGTAATAGGAATGCATGATAAATTGTCACAGAGATCATAGTGGAAAAAATACATTCTATTCCTTAGGAAAATAGATATATTTAATATTTTGACTTACTTTGGATCTGGATGGTCAGGCAATCAATCCTTCTGGGGTATGTATGCATATGTTGGTGTGATAATATTGTCAGTAGTTCCCAGACTTTTCATTGTCAATGCCCTCCTACCCTACCCCTTCACAGATCCAAAACTCAGATTTTAAAATTTCTGTCAACTCCAAGCTTGTATTTGTCAATGATAACAAATACATTCCCTCACAAAAAATAATCAATTTCATAATTTATGGTTGCCATGTAATAGCTGATATTATTCTGGCTGTTAGGAATTGAGACAAGGAAAACAAAGTTAGTATTTTTGTTAATTAGTACAACTTAATTGTGGCTAGTTTGTGGTGTTAATGAAATAATCAGCATAGCATAAATATCTTCCTAACTATGTTTTGAGCATCAGGAAGTCCAGGAGCAATTGTTGTCCAAACAACAAGTCCAGCAAATTGTGAACAACTTGATAAAGCACTACTTAATTCACCTTTAAGTACAAGGTTTCAAAGCAAGTATAGTTACTTAAAAAAAAAGTTCTTGCATATTTTTAAGGATGTTTGGATTACTTAACACAGAGACTGAAATATAAATTACAGAAGTAACTTGCACGTTGTTTTTATTTGCTGTTACATTAACTTTAGATGAGTCAAGAGAAAGCAACTTATCTAGAAATTTTTTATACTATTTTGCAAACTCTTACAGTTACATAATCCTCCATTGTTCATGTGTCTTGATCTACAACTACAACACTAGAGAGATCTTTTTTATTTTTAAAGAAACTCAACTATAGAAAATATTCTAAATATGTATGTTTAAATTTTATAAATGACTTTATGGTATAAATTACTGGTACTTTCTTCTTTTAAATAATACACATAGAAATATCCATCTATTCCTCAGGCAATTAAATGCTGTGACATACTTAGGGGAGGCAGTGCATTCACTGAAGAAACAATGATATCACGTTGAAACTTTAAATGATAAATACTATCTTTTTCTCCAGAGACTGGATCTCCAATTACAGCATCATGCATTGGATTAGGTAATTCTAAGTCACCTCCTCCAGGGCAAGCAGGAAAAAGTGTTCCAGGTTACAATGGTGAGAATGGCTATAATTATTTGAAATATGTAATATTAATACATTAGCTGTATTTTTGCATTGTATGTGTATTGCTTGAAACATCCTGTAACTTAATGTGTTTTTTTAAAAATACCTGATCAAAATTTAAATCATAGACTTGAAGGACATATCTAAGTGACTGTCATGATCAAAAAAGATTATTCTTTATAAGGCACATTGCAAATGCGGATATGGATTTAATATGTATGGAATACCTGTTGGGTGCTCTGCACTTTGCAGAGATCATTCCATTTAGTGGTGAAGTATATTTCATTCAGATATTATATTACCTTTTTACAGATCAGTTAACTGGTGCCCAGAGAAAATAACTTTCCTAAGGTAACACACAGCTGGTTAGATCTTGAAGACAGTAAAATCCCTTTTTTAAATTTATTTACTTATTTTATTGCAAAAGCTACAAATTTTCATTATATATGTTACCCTTTAATTTGAACCTTGTTGACAAAAATAAAGATTCTAAAAAAATTTCATCCATGCTCGTGGTATATGACGATGAAACACAATATCCTTTCAATTTGTGTTTCTAAGTGTTGATAGTGATTACAGTATTTTGATACTTGTCCTGTATTCCTTTTCCTAGTTATATAACTTATACATCTATGAGTCATCTAACCTTTTGAACATTCTTGTGCCTTATTTATAAATGCAATTCTACCTGATTTATAGGGTTGTTTTGTGATGTAACACAAACACCGTAACAAACACCTGCTAGTATTAAAGGCTAAACTAAGCTTTAGTTAGTAGCTGCTGATATATCAACTTGTATTAGACTTACAGATGCATCCACCAGACAAGGACAAAGAAGCAAAAACATTATTTGAGTTACAAGGTCACTCTATTTAGCTTAATAGATTTATGAAGAAAAATCCAGCTTTGGGGGCAGAATATGATTGCCATATATAGGTATATGGCTTGTTTTCTATTTGTATATAAATTCTAATGTTTAGATATTTGACTTTTGCATCTCTAACATAAAAATAATCTATTTTCCATCCAGGACAATGATAAGTTAAGGAAACATGGACCATTTGATTTAGCCTAGCAGATATATTTATAAAAAGACACGAGCTTTTTTTTAAGTGCAGAATTAGATACTCTGTGCCATCTGTGACTTTTCCAGGTATGGAAAGGTGAACCCAGCTTTAGTAAAAATCCTCCATTTGAACAGTTCTGTCATCCCTGCTCCTTTTTATCAGAGAAATCGCTTTTGCGCTGAGATATTTTTAGGGGCTGATCGTGAAAGATGTTAAACACATTCCTCTGTCAGTATCTCAGAACCATTTCTATATCCAGTTGTAAGAAAGAGTTAACTCCTGTTGCTTCCTGGAATTTCAGGAGAGAAGTTTCTTATTGTCTGAAAGCCACTGGCTTACAGACAGAGCAGGGTAAACATTAGAACTAAAGTATTTATAACCAAGGAAGTCATAATTTTATAACTCATGATATTTATATGGTTTGTGATCACTCAGAGATTCAAAAGTAAAATGGAAACTGTTCTGTGAAAAACAATCAGTGAAACACTTAATTTCACATTCATTCAGTACCTTAGGGTAGCTGGTCACTTTTTTATCTTTAAGGAATTCTTGTGCCAGCACTATGAGAAAGGAATTGTTCCCACTTTTTCAATAAGGAAATTGAAGGGGTAATGGAATTTTCACAGGCACATGGTAAATTGCCCACAGGCCTGGGGATTTGAGAAGACAAAGATGAATTAGTCATTGTCACCACCCTTTATAAACTCACAATCTAGTCAGAGACAGATATATACACAGCTAATAATTGTCAGAATAGAATTGTATAACAAGTGCTCTGGGAACACTAAGAAGGGAGCAGTTAATTTCTAGAGACAATGTCCTTTTCTCATAGCTGTACAATGACCTAGATGGATGAAGCCATATAAAGGATCTTTTAAAGCTTAAGAGGTGATGATATATCCTCATTTTTAGTTTTCACTAAAGGTTACTGGATGTGGATACATGAGCTTTTGATGATTTTAGCTGTGTAACACCAAAAGCAATAGGATCAGATTTGGGAAAGTTAAATTGGCTTTTAAGGCTTATAAATGGATAGCAAGCCTTAAATCAGGAGTTTTCTTGACTTTAAATTATTTTTATTGCTTGAAATAGTTTAAAACTACTTATCTCTTTTAAGTTTGACAGGTTAAAATGTTCAATGTTCTTGTTAGAATACATGGATAGATGTAAAAGATATGAAGATACATTATGAAATTACTAACATGCTTGAAATACAACATCTTTATTTAAGAGGGATTCTAAAGGAAAATTAATGGTCCTTTTAGGAATCAAAAACATGTAGTCTTTATAGATTTTGTCAGATATTTTTGCATGTTTGTTAATGATCATTGTCTTAAAGTAATTAACAGGTGGGTGACCTTTAATGCTAGCATTTTGGAAGTTGAATATAAAACACATGAAAATATTTAAGATTTAATATTATGCATTTTACTCAAATTTTAATTTTTATGTTTTATTTTATAGTTATGATTTTGGATGACAACATGCAAAAACTGAAGGCACGGTGTTTAGGAAATATTGTAGTAAAGTAAGTAAAACTGTTTAAAAGAGCAAGAGTTGGTATACAATAAAAATGAAAACTAGAGTGATTACAGTGATATTACTAATAGGGGTATAGAATAAGCTTAGATACTGATGGAGAATCCACAGTGCCAACTCTTGGCAACTTAAACATAAAAGCCTATAAAGTAGAACAAATTTAGATACAAATTTTTAAAAGATGTATTTATTTATTTATGCATAGAAGAACTGGGGTATGGTCCAGAGGTATGGGGAGGGGGTGAGAGGATTCACCAGAGACACAGTGCTGAGTAGACCAGGCAGGTTGACTGAAATACACCAGTGAGGGGAGCAGCGGGTGAGACAGGAGGGGTCTGCTGTGCCATGTGGGTTAGCTATCTGGCTGGGGATCGAACTCAGGCCACAGTGGTGATAGTGCTGAGACGTAACCCATAGGCCACCAGGGAGGCACCTAGATACAATTCTTAAAAAGATAAATCTTGCACTTTTAAATAACTTTTTCTGATTATACTAGCAATATGTAGATGACAAAATTATTTTAAATACTTTTAAATTAAATTAACTAGACTAATTTTGTAATATATATGTTCTTTTACTTTTTTACATTATTTTAGGTAGTTGAACAATTCAGTTTATTCATATATATTGCTGTTTTTCCTTAACCTTGTCTCCTTAATATTTTTGTTATTACTCTGCCTCTTAAAAATAATTATTTGCAATATAGTCCTCTTTCCTCCTTTTCTGATAGTTACTATAGTCTTAAATCAACTTCTAAAAGTGTCATTAATGGGTCAAATAGTAACATAACATAAAATCCATGACTTAAGAAATACCATAATTATTCTTTATATTTTTCATCATTGTCCAGTGGCTGGGCAAAAAGTGCTAACATTTGAAGGGAAATATTTAAATTTTTTTAATTAAATCAACACTTTAAAATTGCTATGCTAGTGGAAGGTGAAATGGAAGTTTATTAATTTGGGAAACACCTAGTATATATTTTAATGATTAATACAGATTTATTTAATGACTTGATTAGCATGATATTGCCATTTGATTGATGTTATTCTTTAAGTAGTAGAATTGCCAGAATGAGCTTCTGTAAAGAACATTGTATGTCAAGTCTTAAAAAAGATTTTTCTCACTTATTTATGAGATTTCTTATTACTTGTCATTCTGATTGGTATAACATTTTAAAATTCTGTGAATATTTTATAAAAAACTGTAGTAAAACAATATGTATTTCTTCAGGAAGAGATATTTAAATCTTACAGAAAACTAACAAGAGTAATGATACAATTGGATATAATTCTTCCCAGATTCTTATGTTATCTATAAACATGGAAACCTAAATTACTTTTTCTTTAAGTTTAAATTTTATGATGTTTTGTGGGCAACATGGAATAATGAAGTATAGAATGTGTAATTTGTATGCATATTTTTCTAAATCCAAATTCATTTTACTTAACATTGTTTAGAGTCTGATTGTAAGGGGGAAGTGGTTGGGATGATGGAAGGATTTGCCAAAGAAACTGATAATCTGAAGAAGATTGTGGGTGGGTGTTTAGATTGTTCAGGGAAGCACATGTTTTTGAAAGCTTTTAAAGCACTCCAACAACATATATTTTTTAAGTGAGTCATCTATTTCATAAAGCAATTATTATGAGATCCCAGAGGTAGCATTTGATGCCAGCATAGTTTTAAATCTCTTGTGCATTCTGTCACTCTAATTATGGGTGGTTTTAGCTCACATCCATTCCAAAATAATAAAATATAGCAATAGGCCACATAAACTATGATTTCTTCTTGTAGCCATTAGTGTTACTTCAAATACTTAAAAGCAGTGCAACTGTTGCTTCAAAGCATTCCTTATTTAGATTCTCACCAATTCAGAATTTTATTCCTTCTGTAATCCTCCACAGGGAATGTCAATGTACAGATTGAAGACTGTGTTAGTACATTGTAAATTATTTAAGGATACAAAATATTGCAACCTTCATTGGACTACAACTCTTCTCTTGAGCTAGTAGTGAGAGAAGATACTTGAGAATATTTTATATATTATATTCAACAGGTAAAATAGAAATAATCAGGTTGAAAATGATCACTAAGATCCCTCTTGTTTTTAATTCAGCAGTTCTGGAAACCTTATTTCAGGAATTCTTTTTTATCTGTGAGAGCAAGAGCTTCCTTTTGAAAATGCATGTCCAGTTGTCATTCCACTAACTCAGCAACCTGAAAAATACTCCTATATCCCAAAGACTGCCTAGAATATGCATATGATGTTTTCATTTATCTATAGATGTTTACATCTATCAAGAAGAATTGTTTATGTCAATCCGTAGTTATTCTGTGTTCCCTGAGGGAATACATCATTTATCCATAGTGGAAAATGGTGAATACTTTTCAAGATTACACAATAAATATATGGTCAATCAAATAGTGGAAAAAGAAAAACACACTTTAACTTATTAAAACTTGTGTTTTTTTATATAAGTATGCAATTTGAGAGATAGCTGTTCTTTCCATGTAGACCACTTTCTAAAGAAGGCCTACAATCTAAAAACAGGATCCTTTCCAAAGACCAAATATGTGGGCCTCCAGAACCACTTTATGGCATGTAAATGGTGTGCAGTTGGGTTTTATACATGGTTTTATACATCCAGAATGTCCAGAATATCTGAAATTTAAAATTTTAAGGAATTTGTTGACTCCCAAATTTGAGAGAGCGATAATCAAATGAGCATGTTTAATTAAATTCTTTTTTTATAATTCGAGATTTTTTTTAAAGATTTATTTATTTTTACATAAGAGCTGGGGTACAGGCCAGAGGCGCAGAAGGGGGAGAGGATTCACCAGAGACAGAGCGGGGAGCAGAACAGGCAGACAACCAAATTACACTGCTGAGGGGAGCAGCAGGAGTGACAGGAGAGGTCTGCCGTGCCATGTGGGAATCTCCCTGGCCAGCCAGGAATTGAACCTCCTCTGCAGAGGCTGCAGACAGCTTCACAGTGCTGCGCTCAACCCATTGTGCCACTGGGGAGGCCCCGTTTAATTAAATTTTTATATGATTTAACATGAAAACAACTTCATTGTCAATTTAGTTTTTATAAATTTTTCATTTTCTTTGCAAACGTTAGGTCATATTTTTTCATTTCCCATGATTCCTGAAAATATGTAATGATTGGTGAGAAAAGAGAAGGAATGTAAACTAAATGTGTGACATCTTGCCAAATCATTTCAAAAGCAATATTAACCATTCACTTTTCAGAAAATGTTAGAACATTTTCTTATTTGGTGTACTGTAGGTTTGATCATAGATATGAGGTGAGGCCACCAGTAACAAAAAGATTAGGGTCCATGAAGCACTGAAAACTGAGCTGACATCCTAAGTCACTCCAGCGAATGATCGTCTGTTAGAGATAAATAGCCATTCTTTTCAATTATTCATGCCCATGCATTTCTTTATTACTTTGTGTAGTAATTAAGTGGGTTATTCTTTGAAAGAACACTATTCCCGGATGCTATTTATGTTCATTAATTATACTTGCAATGATTATAAAGAATAGAGGGAAATATTTGGTATGAAACATTTGAAATGTATGGGGCTCAAACTATGTCAAAGTAAATCAATAAAAAATAATGACTCATTGTTTTAATCCCATATTTTTTTGCTTTGTTATAGCTTATTGCTTCACTATAAAATCTATTATGAATAATAGATAGGAAACTCTCTTTTTTGGGAGTTTCTTTAAAATCTGAGCTCCAATCATGTTTGCACAAGTACCAAATGTAATGATTCAAGATCACTCACCCTAAATTCACAGACAGTAATGATGGGAAAAAAAAATCTTGATCCATTTTGTTTTTTCCACCTCCTTTTTAAGACTTTGTAGAAATCTCTACTTTGCTCTCTGGGGATTCCTTAATTACAAGGCAGACATTTTAGTGATTCCTAAACTACTGTGGACCCTTGCATATAATAAACAAGAATCCTGCAGTTTTCATAGATTACTTGCATTCATAGGATATCCTCTCTAAAAAAGAAAACTTCATGTCCCTGTGGAATTTGAAAATTTCTTTAATTTTGAAGCACATTCCAGGCATTTAATTTAGCAGGAAAGTTATAGTATCTGAAATTGCAATGAATGCAAAATATTCATGCATTTTAGAAGGTGCTTCTGAGTTGCATCCAGAGTTCCAAAGTGTAGAATTAAAACAGTGAGTCATGGATTTCCAAGCAACACAGTAGAGGGCAAGAACAAAAATTTTAACTACGGTTCCTTTCCTCGGTACCACAGAGCTCACTGTTATTAAAGCCATAGGTCTCTGCCTCTTCCTCTCTCCTGGGCATACATTTTTCTTTTACCAGATCCACTGTTGCTACAGGCTGTGTGACTTATCCACTTCCTGCTGGGATCTGGAGGCCTGTGCCCTACAGCCAGTGATGGGGTGTGAGGGAGCCATATGGGGTTGCCAAGTGGTTTTTATGTGGTGCCTGTTGAGTTTCAGCCTTCAGATATTGAACTTGCTGATGTTTGCTCAGATTTTTATAGCTTCACAGGCATGATTCAGTCACTGTTGTGTTTTAGGGGAGAATCAACACATCTTTCTTTTTATTATTATATCTTTTGAATAAAACCAGGGATGCCATATAACTGCATCCCATTTCTTTCTAAATCTCATATGCAGATTTATTTCTGATCTTTTATTAACCTTTCAGCAACACTGTGAGATAGGAACTAGGACAGAAACTATAGACACAGGAATCTAAACATCAGTCATAGTATAGCTACCTAGCCACAACTCACAGTTTTTACCCAAGCTTTTGTCTGCTCAACTCACAGTTCTTACCTAACTTTTGTCTGCTCAGAGAGAAAGAAATGGTGACCTAAGCAGTCACTTTGGAGGACATAAAACAATGGCTTCATGGGCCTCCCTGGTGGCGTAGGTGGTTGAGTGCAGCGCTGTGAAGCTCTCTGCAGCCTCTGCAGCTCAAGTTCAATCCCCGCCAGCCAGGGAGATACCCACATGGCAGAGCAGACCTCTCCTGTCTTGCCTGCTGCTCCCCTCAGCAATGTTTTCGGTTGTCTGCCTGTTCTGCTACCCACTCTGTTTCTGGTGAATCCTCACCCTCCCGCACCTCTGGCCTGTATCCCAGTTCTTGTATGGATAAATAAATAAATCTGTAAAAAAATGGCTTTACATGGAAATCTCAAGTAAAGCCTAAAGACCTCGTGAAATAGGGGGAATGCAAAGCTAAGGCATCTAACTCCAGAATTTGCTATGGAACAAGAGTTATGATTTCAATTTATTTCTGTTTCCATAGAGATTCCTGATAGAAGACCAAATACAGACCTTTCTTCATCTGGTATTAGAAAAATCTAGGAGTTTACATTTCAGATTGGCCAGGAATATGCCACTTTCCAGTGATAGACATTCTCTTCTTTCACTAGCTATCTATTTAAGAATTTCTCAGTTCCCCCGTTTCTACCTTTCCCCCACCCCCACATCCGTATCACTTTTGCCTTTGTTGCTCCTCTGTGCTCTTAAGAAAGCTTGGAATTTTTGCATGTACTACTTTGTGATGCATTTTCAAAACAAAACATTTCTAAAAAATCAAACCTATTAGCATTAATTACTGCTTACTTAATTCTCCTATTACATATTTAGTTTGTTTTCAAATCCTACTATTCTACGTGAAGCTGTGATCAACATCTTTAAAAAGAAAAGAATGATCTTTTTAGAAAAGACATTGTCTAAGGGAGAAACTCCTGATTCACAATGAGATGAATTATAGTAAAGCCCTCTTTCTCACTCTGCTTGGAAGAATTAGGGAGAGTTTCTGAGGGTGGCAATATTTGATCTTGCATTTGAAACATGAATATAGATATAAGTTAGCATATTTCTTATATTTTAATATCTTTTCCTTCATTCTGCCACTCCAATGCATTTTTATTTTATTGAAATTTCAGAAAAATGTATCTTTTTCTGTAACTTCAGAAAATGAGCCCAGGTATACAGTAAGATCTCCCTTTAATGTGGAATAATCGTTAAGATAACATCAAGAAGAAAAGTTTAATTCGGAATACTGCAAAAAAATAACCCTGCTCTAGCTCATATGCACCTAACTTCTGGCTGGATCTTAATGCTTTTCTTTTCACTTCCTTTACTACGCTTATCTATATTTTATCACAAATATTTCCAGTTCTGTAATACTCTCTTCTGCTTTCTCTTGGGATCTTTTTTGCTTTTTTTTCCTTGCATCTTTCAGGGATCTCTCATTAGAGACCCCTTTTAATATTTATATAAATATCTCTACATTTTTAAAGATACCAGACTTTGTTATGAAGAACAGATACAGCATTTCCCTATTTTATCGGAACAATTACCCATTGCAATCTCCTATTTTGTTCTCCAGTCTGATCCTCAGTTAGTTTTTATAATAGTGAAGTTGTTTTTGTGGGCATCTCAAAAATGACTTGGGACAAATATACACACCTTTTCCAGCAGGTCCACAAAACTTCAAGAGATACTATTTGAGTGCCACAACGGTGCCTTAGAGCATTCCTCAATGACTCTTCTATGTCATGGTCAACAAAGTTCACCCTCAGTTAAACACAATCTGTCCAGCAGATTTGGACATTGGCTTATGCTTCAATGTAGGATTTGAATTATAATTATCCATCACACTGGACAATTATCAGTTCTAATCAATATATTTTTATTACCACTTTCATTGTAATTCTAACTGTTCTGTTTTTCAAGGTTGCCATTACCTCCTGGGGCCTTTTCAGGACTCTGGAAGAATCAGGAAGCATTCAAGCATTTATACTTTGAAAAATTTCCTGTAAGAATTTTATTATACTTTCTTTACCTTGTTATGTATTTCTTGCCTATTAAACTAAGCAGCATGCTCCTTCAGTCATACATCACAAAGCCACTTCTAAATGTTATCTGGACTAGTTTTCAGATTTCAGGAATAAAAATACCCCAACTGTAATTGTCTAAATAAGTCATTTTTATGTTTATTTTTATCAGTCTCTGGGCATGGACATTTCTTAGTTCTTTTAGCAGCTTTTCCTGGAATTGAACAGTCTTAATATGAGGAAATATTTTGCTACATTAGAACTTTTGGGGGATTTCTATGTAATTTCCTCTTTTGGATTCCTCTGCACGTCTGAGCAACCAATCAGAACTGGCCACTTTCATTAGGGCTACTTAGCCTCGTTTAATCCTGGTTATGTGAAGGAAATTCATTTGACTTGCCCAGAAGTTACTGTTCTGTTTCCTATTATCTAACCCTTTATTTTTGACATTCTTTCCTGATTGTTCTCTGAACTCTGTAACTTAATATTCCATGTTAAAATACAGATACAGAATGGAGCCAGCACTTTCAAACCTAACCTGCAGTACGCTAGATAACAAACAAAGTGTCTTCTGATTTTCTGTTCTGTCATTTTCCCCACAGTCATGTGTTTTGTTTGCAACAGCAATTTGTTGTTCATGCATGACAGGATCCCACCATCATCCTCTGCTCTCTTTTAACTCCTTTCCCTGAGAGACATGGCTGGTCTCATTATACACTGGGTAAAAAAAAAAAAGAATGAGTCATCAGAATTTCTTAGAAAAACAAAAATAAGGCTAAGTATTTAGCATGCTATATTATTTGTGAGTGAAGGACAGCCGACCTATCAACCAGACAAATGACAGGAGGTTCAGGACAGCTTCCTACAGAAAGATCTCAGGTTAAATGACTTTAGGATCCAAGATTAAGCATGGTCCCAGGGACTGTGGAAAGGGAGATTTGTCAATGTGGCTGTCTCCAGTCATCCCAATCTGTCGCCTGATGGGCCACAGTTAAACATCAAAGAACTGATAGGATTAATTGTAACTTCAAAAAAGAGTAATTATATATGAAGTAAATATCAAAATCAAAAGGCAGCTATAAACCAGAGACATTCGGGGTGGGAGGAGGGGAGCAGGATCAAGGTAGGGGTGGGATGAGCACAAGGGACTATGGTGATGGTACATGGGTGAATGGGTGGTGGGAATTTCACGGGAACTATAACCGAGGTGAGAAAGCATACATTGTACAAAAATGAGGAATGATATAAAACTAAATAAAATTTAAAAAAAGAAAAAAATGTAACTTGACAATAGTGAATAAATGTGAGTCTGATTTTAACTTGAGCATCTTTAGCATTTAACATGATCACTTTCAAAGCTCCGGTTTACGGTTAATCAATATGAAGTGAATTTATACTATGTTTTGTTACTATGGCTTCAAACGTCTTATCTAAGGGTTTAAGAACAGCAGAGAAGGGTTAAGTATCTTGCCCATAGCTTAGAAGTGACAGGGACTGGCTCCACAGTCCCTGGGGACAGAACTATTAGCTGAACCCACATATTTTGTTCCAGCCTCCACGCTTTTCAAGATTGTCTAGTAGTAAATAAAGTAGTAATTACAGAAAAAGCTGTCTATTATTATGGGCTGATGATTTTATAGCATCTTCTCTCTTTTCTTTCATACAACTAATTTATACTTCTCCTATGCCTGATTAGGTAGATAGTGCCCATTTAATAGATGAGCAAGCTGAGTTTCATAAAGATTAGACAACACAAATAGTGGCATACCGGGGTTAAAGTTTATGCTCATAGGTATCAAAATAACTAAGAAGTTAAAGAACTTAAAAACATCAGAGCAGTATGGGAAATAATATTTGCTTCTTTTTACTTATTATTTTTCTTAATCCCTCACTTTTGTGACTTCTGGGCCAATGAAGATGTGCTGCTCTTTTGAGTTGATTACAAATTATTTCATACTTACTATTATATTTCATTGAAGCTCCAATCCAAATTAATGTGACTAATCTAGTGCTGTATTTTGTAATTATTCACAGAAGCTTTATAGCTTTTTAAAATTAAAACAATTAAAAGAAGAAATCTATCATAGGATTACTTTATAATACACAAGTTTATTGGAAATATTGAGCTATTCATGATAAAGAAAAGAAATTGGGTTCATAAACTTTATAATTCTAAGCTCAAACACTTAATTTGCACATATATAAGAAAACTTTAATTTATTTCTGACTGTTAAAGGAACAGATTCTATTAAACTTTCAAAAGCAAAAGTAATTTAATTCCATAGTCTAGATAATGAAAAAAAGTTATATGCATAGGGTAAATCCGTTTCTACCAGATTTTATATTTTACCAAGTTCACAAATGATTGTATTATCTAATAACATGCTAATTAGATTTTATTCATTCTTATTTTCAGGGATACTATGACACCATGGATGCTGGTTATATGGATGAAGAAGGGTATTTGTATGTTATGTCTCGAGTTGATGATGTGATAAATGTTGCAGGTCACAGAATTTCTGCTGGTGCCATTGAAGAGGTATTGATAAATACTGGTCCTCTATTGCAGGTAGTATTTAGGAACAGAGCTTTACTGAAGTCACTAATGAGGTTAATGGCGCCTCCCTTTAACAGGGGTTAAAGACAGCACTATCAAGCTACTGCCAGCCACTACAGCATGAGTTCTATTCCCGGCCAACCAAGGAGCTAATGCACATGGCGCAACAGACCTTTCCTATCTAGCCTGCTGCTCCCCTCAGCAGAGTATGTCAGTATATCTGCCTGTTCTGCTCCCCACTCTCTCTGGTGAATCTTCTCACCCCCCTTATACCCCAGTTCTTGTATGCAAAAATAAATAAATGTTTTTTAAAAATGAGGTTAAGTCAGATGGAAACTTGGAAAATTACTGTGCTCTTCATCTGAATCAGAGACTAGATTATGCCTCTCTCTCCTCATTTTCCTCTCATGTATTCTCCATATACCCACTTCTCACCCCTGCCTGGGTGGAGTACGTAAATTTTACTTCCATATATTTACTATTTACAGGAGAGCCAATATACTACTTGCTACTTTCTGTTGATTGCTTCCAGCTTCGCCATCATCTCTTGCTTGATAATCAGGTTTGCATACAGTCTTTAAGGGGAGTGAAATTGAAACAGTTTATCAAATTTTAAATCCTAAGAATTATCTTCTAATGTAAGTTACACAAAGTCTCCAGAACTTTTAAATTATTTTAATTTTTCACATTTATATAGAGTAAAATCTACTTTTTTCTTGTATAACACTATGAATTTTTATAATTGCAAACTCTTGTAATTCCACAGGCAGGACACCGAAAATTTCAACATTGCTAAGTGTTCCTGCGTACCATCACCTTTGCATTCTGATGCTCTTAATCCCTAATCCTGTTAACACTGATGTTTCTCTGATCTTATGTTTTTTCTGTCCTCTGGAATGTTATATAAATGAAATGTAATACTGGGTAACCTTTTGAAACTGGGGTATTTCATTTAGATTAGTAATTTTGAGACTATCTCAGTTGTGTGTAACAAAAATTCTTCTTTTTATGTTGCTATTTTATATTCCATTATATGACTGCACTAACAAGTTATGTATCCATTTACTTATTAAAGGATATTTGGATTGTATCTAGTTTGGGTCAATTATAAATAGTGTTGTTATATACATTAAAGTTGAAGTTTTTGTGCAAAATTAGTTTTCACTTCTCTAGGACAAATACCTATAGCAAGATTGCTGATTTATATAGTGAGTGTATGTATAAGAAATGCCAAACTGTTTTCCAGAGTGACTATGACATTTTACATTCCTGCCAGCAGGGTTTGAGTTTCCTAGTTCTGTTATTAGTACTAGAGATTATTCATTCTCTTTTTTTAAATTTATTTATTCATTATTTAAATCAATCTAATAGCTATGTAATTTTTTTAATTTGTTTTCTTGGAAGTGACTAATTAACATCAGGTATCTTTGCCTATGCATATTTGCCATCCTTGTATCTTTTTTGGTGAAATATCTGTTAAACCTTCCATCCATATTTTTTTAAATGAGTTATTTTGAGAGGGTTTTTTTTTTTTTTTAGATCTCCTGAATACAGGTTCTTTGTAATTTGCCAGTGTTTCCTTCCAAACTGTGGATGATCTGTTAAGTGTTTTAAAAGTGTTCATAACAGAACAAAGGTATTTTTCATGTTGATGAAGACTCATTTTGGCCCCCAGTCACAAGTGTTTTCTCCTTTATTTTCACCTAAGAGATTTTAATAGTTTTATCATTTTATATCTTATATCAGCATACATTTACACTATTAGTTATTCTTTAATTATGGTACAAGATTTACATTAAGATTACTTTTTTAAAATATGGATGCCAATTGTCCAGCGTGACAATTTTTGAAAAGATAGCCCTCTCTCCAATGAACTGTTATTGTACCTTTGTCAAAGATCAGATGACAGAATTTGAGAGGGCCTAAATCTAGAATATATTTTGTTTCTTTATGTATTTATCATTTCACCAATACTATTTTGTCTTATCATTCTAGCTATATGAATATCTTAAAGTTAATAATGTCCACATTTGGTTTTTCAAGTTTTTTTTGAATGCTATTTTTTTTAAAGATTTATTTATTTATGCATACAAGAGCTGGGGTACAAGCTCTTGTACAGAGATGTGGGGGGTGAGAGGACCCATCAGAGACAGAGTGGGGAAAAGAACAGGCAGACTGACTGAAATACACTGCTGAGGTGAGCAGTGGATGAGACAGGAGAGGTCTGCTGTGCCATGTGGGTAGCTCCCTGGCCGGGAATTTACTTCATGCTGCAGTGGCTGCTGACAGCTTCATAAGTTGCATCTTAACCCCTCGCGCCACCAGGGAGGCCCACCATATGTCCTTTAAAATGAACTTTTTATAGTTATAACTCCTCCATAGCCTTATACTCAGTTAGTGTAAGATGTGGAGATTACTGCTTCTTTTTGGTGTTCATCTGGAGTAGGAAAGATAGGATCAAAAAGATTGATTATTTTCTCCTCTTCTCTGCTCCTTGGACCTCTGGTGAGACACTGGAGGCATTCTTGGGGCTTTTTCTCTTTATTCTCATGGGCAATTATATGTTTGGGGTTAACTAGTGCCCAGACTGTAATCTATAGGAGGCAAACCAAACAAAAACAAACGATAATAGGAGCAAAATAAAAAACCTCCAGCAGCTTTTCCGCCAGCCTGTGACTATGCAGGTGTTTAACAAACCTTTTTTTTTTTTTTGCAAACCTTTCTCAAACTTTTTTTTTTTTTTAAACCAGCAGCAGCAGCTTTTCTGCCCACCTGTGACTGTGCCTGTGCAGCTGCCTCTCTTTTTCTCCCTTCCTAATAAACCTGTCCTTTTAAAACGTAAAAAACAAAAACAAAAAACCTTCAAACCCCAAAACAGGGTACTCACCAGCAGGTTGTCTCTTAAAATTCTGAATGCCCTGAAAAAGCCTCAGAATATATGTTTTAGCCTAGAGTTTTTTATTGCAATTAGTGAAGGTAAATTAAAGATGGAAAGTATTGCTTCATCTTTTCCAGAACCAATCCCAGAATAGCTTTTAAATGGTATGAGGCAATTGCAGTTTAAATGAAAGAAAATCTTCATTGTAATATCATTGATAATTTCAGGGGAACACGAATATGCAGAATTAGAATTTCCCTTCTTCTAATGTAAAGATGTTCACCTTCTATAAAGGTTGTACTTATCTGCAGCCCAAATTTCTCATGTTGGCTTTTTTTTTGTGACAATGTGATATCGAGTAAAATGAAATAATTTTTGAACTATTTTGGAATGTGAAGTTGAATGCTATTTTTAAATTATCTTGTTTTTAATGGACTGTATTTTGTGATAACCTGGAATTGAAATTTATGCCTCATATATTCTGGTGTACTGGCAAAAGGTGGTTCTGGCTACATGGACTTTTAATTTGCTGTTGTAGGCGATTACCTCCAATATTCACCCATGTTGGAGTACTTACTGCACATAATAGGACACTTGTCAGCCTTCAAGTCTTCTTTAAGTGAACATCTCCCTTTATATGAATGAAATAATTGACTTTTTTATATTATTATGTCTAATAATGAAATTAACATCTTAATTCTTATCAGGTTTGTCTTATGTGGAATAAAATAGATAATTATGAACCAAAACTTCTTTTCCCCAATGCCTAGCACATTTGCTTAACTAATACCTAGCACCTAATACCTAGCATGCATAGAATGTTTATATTGATGATGTAGACAGCATTTGTCAACATGCCCTAAACTTAACGTCATATTTAAATGCTTTTTCATGATTCTTAGTAGTGAATGCTAGATTTCACTTTTACTTTTTGAAGTAATAGTTGATTAATCCACTGGAAGTCTCCTTTGTAGAAAATGAAAATAGACTGAATTTTTTAATGTATAATGAAAATATCGATGCTTTTTTAGTTGCCCTAAGTAAGATTTGACAAGAATATTGCCTTATATAAGAATAAATCAAGCAGAAATTCTATTAAAATTACTACATCAAAAATATTTCAGAAACATAAGTTCTTTTCTGTTATTTTCATAAGAAAATAGAGTATTTGAATAATTTTTTATAAGTTTAAGAAGACATTATCTTTGCAGATCCCAAAAGTGGGAGGGTCCTCTGTAACTGTTAAATGCACTAATGAAATTTATATGAATAGTGATTAATCTTTGAAAATCTAGCCTTCAACTAGATACTTGGGAAATTTTGATTGTAGTTCAAGGTGTCCTTAAGAAAATGGGTGTAAAAATCTGTTAGTTCAGACCTTATGAGCAAAAATTACAAGGACCCAGGTTTTCTTTCCTGCTGTGGGAAGGACTTTTCATGCAAAGCACCTCACAGGAAAAAATTGGGCCCCCTGATTTCATTCTTTCAGTGGTGGCTTATATTACAGCTTGTTAAAAAATATCCCTACTAGTATCCTTGGGAACTTGTAACTATGGTGTTAAAACAGTGCATTAAATTTGAGGGCAGCGTTGACATATAATTTGCCCTTTTGAAGATTATTCTGACTCAAGTGTCACTGGTTGTTTTCCAAGTTAGCTGTTTTGTTTGCTATTTTTAGCAATGATTTCTTTAAGATTGAATATATTTCCACAAAGATGCCATGCAATTTTGATTCCATCCAGCATTAAATGACTACTGGGTTTAAGTAGTTGTAAAATTGCTGAATATTTTTTCCCAGTACTGATATGAATATTGATGACAATGTAGGATCTAACTGTTTTCTAGAAAAGTCCAATGTCAGGAAATGAAAAAGCTTTCTTCTTCTTTCCACTGCAGAGACAATTGCCTTTTGATGTGACTTCTAGCAATTTTATAAGGGTTCTTTATGTCAACTAATATTTCTAAAATTAAAATACTTAAAAAAACAATTGCAAACCTTTGCAATTTAGACCACTAAGGCCACAAAACCTTTTAAATCTATAAAAATTTACATAAAAATGGCAGTACTCCAGAAGCAATGAATGACAGGTATAAGCCAGACCTGTTATCATAACATTATATACTCTGTTTTGGTAAGATAATTACCTTTTATAAGTTGTATCACTCTTTTGATACATAAATGCCAGTTCATAAAACAGATGCTTCATGGATTTTATATGGAGGAAATATATGAATATCTTTGGATTTCTTTCACCATAGAGGATATTTGATTGTCTTCTCTCCCTCAGATATTGCCAACACATATTTTGATGCTTTCCTTTTTAATGATTTAGCTGCTGAAATCATTATTTGGCATCCAAATATTGTTTGTGGGGCCAACATAGAAAACTGCCTCCCTTCCTTTATGGCATTTTTTAAATACTGATGGATTAACATAATGTTTCATCCACAGTAATAATGAGAGATGATAGAGAATTCTGGAAAATGATTGTTTCTCACAGACTATTAAGAATTTAATAAGGTTTGCAAAATGAGAAAAAATAGGGCATTGTATTAAGCATTGCTTCTGATTTTAAAATACTCCCAACCTTTTATGAAAAAAAGTCAACATTTTCCCAATGTCTTCTAAAGACATTAAAACAGTATATAAATATGGCACAATTACAACAATGAGGTGAAATAACTAGAAGTTGTTTTTTTTTTAATTTATGCATACAAGAACTGGAGTACAGGCCAGAGATGCAGGTGAGTGAGGGAATTCACCAGAGGCAGGGTGGGAAGCAGAACAGGTGAATCTACTGAAATACACTACTGAGGGGAGCAGCGGGCAAGACAGGAGAGGTCTGCTGCACCATGTGGGTTAGCTCCCTGGCTGTGATCAAACTAATGCTGCAGTGGCTGATGATAATTTGATAGTGCTGAGACTAATCCCTGTGCCACCAGGAAGGCCCAAACTAGAAGTTTTTGTGTTCAATTAAATTAAAACAATATTCACATTGGTTAGGTGACAAAATATTTAGATGATATTTTTTACAGTGATTTGGAAATATACCTTGGCATTTTACAAATTCAGGTATAGAAGTGTATGACACCAGTGAACATTTTATTACATTTTTTTTTAGTAATTAAAACTCTGTTAGCCAATGGAAGTTTTCATCTACTTATTGAGAGAACACTAAACCAGAATTAAAAGATGAACCTAGCAAGTCTATCTTTTATCTGCTAGAGACAAAGAATTCTTTTCCATGACCTGGCAACTGACTATATTACTAGTAAAACAAGTCTTTGGCATTACAATTAATCTCTATACTCAACATAAGGACCTAAAAAAGAAAATAAGAGCTTAGCAAGTGGGAAAACAATTGGAACCATTTTGAGAATTGAAGCAATGGGAGAATGTGGTGTTGTAAAATTTGTGTGGTATATTTCACAGAAGCTTTTTAGTTAGGCGTGACTAATGGAAAGAGGGTCTGAACATATTTACCTCAGTAATGAAGTTAGTATTTTAAAAGACATGGTCAAAAAATCATTTATTTGACATGCACTATCTTCCAAACTATATGAGTCAAAAACTATGAATGGAAGCCTCTCCAACCCAATATACTTCAAAGTAGATGCTAACAATAGGATAAAGGAGAAATATTGATTTGTATGTTTAAGTAGGGGCAGTGTGAAGTAGCACACACACATCCTAATAATTCATTGAGCCTTCCCCTTCAGTGAAACAAAACTAAGCTTAGTTTGCAAAAAAAAAAAAAAATTCTTCATGGAAGGTTTGGGACTTAAATGTGGTGTTTCCCAGATTCTGTTGATTTTTATTCCTACCTTTCTGACATGCTTTTATAGTCTAGTTTGCCTACTTTTCCTTTTTTCATATAGCCATCAGATATCCAAGTGCCTTAAGGCCTTCATTCTATTTTCATTATGTTCCCCCTAAATAACATCATGCCCATATTTTTCGACATTCACAATATTCACAATTTCGACATTCACGACATTCAGCATATCTCCCCATTAAAAACACTCCTCAGGGCCTCCCCTGGTGGCACAGTGGTTGAGTGCTGGGCTGCGAAGCTGCCCGCAGCCTCTGCAGCGCCAGTTCAATCCCCGGTCGCCGGCGAGGGCCCCACATGGTGCGGCAGACCTCTCCTGCTGCACCCACTGCTCCCCTCAGCAGTGTATTTCGTCGGTCTGCCTGTTCTGTTACCCGCTCTGGCTCTGGTGAATTCTCTCACCCTCCCCCGCTTCTGACAGTACCCAGTGCTTGTATAAATAAATAAATAAATAAAAAAAAAAAAAAAAAAAAAACAAACTCAGATTCAACCAACTCAACTCAGCTGTCTGAAAGGTACTATGATGGAATATCTCCGAGAATTAATAAATGACTTTTCCTGCCTCAAGTTAGCTTAATTTACAAAAAAAAAAAAAAATTCTTCATGGAAGTTGTGGGACTTAAATGTGGCATTTAAGCCTTAACCCTCACTAGCATTTTCTGGTTTAGAAAATATGCCAATGACCGACCGATAGCTGAAGCCAAAACCCACAGTTATCCTTAACTTTTCTGTTTCTTCCTGCTCCTTATCAAACACCATCAAATTTTGTCCATTTTTCCTCTGAAGAAACTCTAGACTCTTCATAGCTACTACATAAATTTAGTCTACTATGGCAATGAATCATGTGATTTGCTTGTATTAACTGTGATACTTACCTTCAACCACCTTCTGTTCTCCACAATTAAACCCTAAGTTTGTGTTATTCAAAATCCACTCTAAGGTAAAAGAAGTCAATCTGAAAAAGATACAAACATACTATATAATTCCAATATTATGACATTCTTCTAGAAGAGGACTTTGGAGACAGTAAAAGTATCAGTGATTGCCAAGAGTTAGCAGGAAGTGAGGGATAAATAGGCAGGACACAGTAGATTTTTAGGAAAGTAAAACTACTTTGCAAAATACTCTAATGACAGATATATGTCATGCCCCCATAGAACGTACAGCTCCAAGAGGGAACTCTAATGTAAACTGTGGGCTAGGGGGATAATGATGTGCCATCAAGGTCTCATCAGTTGTAACAAATATGCACTCTAGTGAGGGATTTTGATAGTGGGGGATTCTGTGCATATTAGGGGACAGGAGGTAGATGGGAACTACTTTTCTGCTTAAATTTGCTGTGAATCAGAGACTGCATAAAAATGACATTTATTTTAAAGTCCATTCTAACATTGCATCTCCTCATCTCCTGGAATATTTTACTACCTTCCCAATGCTGCTACTATACCCCTCTATGCTCTGTAACTTCATCTTCTTCCATTTTCACTGTTGTCTTTACTTTCCAGTCACATTGACCTCTTAGATTTAAATGGGGCATGCTTAATCCTTCCACATTTTTTCCCGAATCTTCCTCTCTGCCAATTTAATGTCTACTCACCACTTAGAGCCAAGCTCATTTTCATTTTCTAAAGGAAGACTTCTCAGGCAGCTCTTCTGCCCACTTCTGACTCTGCAAAAAAGGACTTCTTGAACATTCATTTAAAAAGGGCCACAAAACTGCAGAAATTTTTCTTTTAATTTAAAGCTTCTGCATTTCATGTTACTCAACTCTGTGGGATCTTGTGATTACAAATAGGTAGCTACTTGCTTTTTAAGGCATTTAGAGTTCAGGGTGAGCAGTGTAAAATGGTTTCTGAACAGTGAGGATTATCTGATGTCAGGAATTCACTTCCCGTCCAGCTGCTTCAAGTCTTAAAAAACTGTCTGCATGGGTGACCACTCAAGAAAATAAATGCTCTGTTCATTGTTCAGTAACAGACGCAGAAATAAAATCAATAGTTGTGGGACTGCCTTAGAGTTCTCTGGAACGTGTGCATGTGGTACTCAGCACTAAAACCAAATCACCAAGAGGTCCTCTTTCTTCAGAGTCCTGGGCAATTTGTCTATCTGTGTTATTCGTAAGTCCCTATTTTTTGCCTGACTCTATTTAGTAAGCAATTGAGAGTTAGGAACAATTCCCTTACTTTCTGGATAAGATAGTAATTTTCTTTTCTTTTTTTGAAGATTTATTTATTAATGCAATACAAGAATTGGGGTACAGGCCAGAGGTGTGGGGGTGGGGGGTGAAAGGATTTGCCAGAAACAGAGTGGGGAGCAGAACAGGTGGGTTGACTAAAATATACTGCTGAGGGAGCAGCAAGCAGGCAAGACAAGAGAGGTCTGCTGAGCCATGTGGGTTAGCAACCTGGTCAGGGATCGAACTAGTGAAGCAGTGGCTGCAGATAGCTTCATAGTGCTGAGACTTAACACCTTGCACCACCAGGGAGGCCCCAGTAATTTTCTAAATTACTGTCAGCCTTTAGTGAATGACTGCCATGGGAATCTATCCATTCACCCCAGTGGTAATAATGTGAATTATGAATTAGCAGTGCATTCCACACAGGCAGCTATGGGTTTTTAAGTTGTCTGACATGTATTTTTTTCCCAAATGAAATTATATAGATCTGTGTGCATCTATATTCTAAATGAATGCTTTTCCATGTTACAGTCTGTCCTCTCCCATGGTACTGTGGTCGACTGTGCTGTTGTTGGCAAAGAAGATCCTTTGAAAGGTCATGTCCCCTTAGCACTCTGTGTGTTGAAAAAAGGTGAGAGAGAGATCTTTGTCCTCCCTGACTGGTTGAGCCCTTGCTGATTAAGGTTAATGCAGCAACTTAACATTTGAACTTTCTCTCTAGATATAAATACAACAGAGGAACAACTTTTGGAAGAAATTGTGAAACATGTGAGACAGACCCTCGGCCCTGTGGCTGCTTTTCGAAAAGCAGTGTTTGTTAAGCAATTACCCAAAACCAGATCTGGCAAAATTCCCCGATCAGCACTATCTGCTCTTGTCAATGGCAAACCATACAAGGTAAACTATCAAGGATGCAAGGATGTCCAATGCTGGGTTCTGAAATGTTTCCCCCCATTTCTTTAGCATCAATGAAATCCTTAACAATTGAAGCACAAATGTATCTCTGAGCGCACACACACACACACAATAGCGCTTGTTTTTTTAGTATTAAAGGGAAAATTGCATCGTCATTCTCTCTGTAAGACTGAGGGCTTTGGAGAGAAACACAGATTAATTAATGCCATATGCTTTGATTACAAGGATCAGTGTGCACAAGTATTTTTTACTATTAGTAAATACGTCAGTTAAACAAACTTGTGTAAACTCTATTTTATTAAATGAAAGGTTAATTCCCCTTCCTGGCAGTCACTAATGGCTATTAGTGAATGAGAAAGCAAACAATTGAGACTGGCTGTATGTATTTTAAAATTAAAATTGATATTTATGCTAACTAAATCTCCTGTCTTTAATGAATATTATTATAGGAAACTTTAGACTGATTCAAGCATATATACTTCTAATATGTGCACACATTAAACATGCATAGGTATAGTTTTACTCATTAAAAACCAATAAAACAATGCAACAAAAGAAAAACATTCCTTCTTTCTGGAGAGGTGAGAGCCTGTGTAAAAGAAATTGTGAGCCAGTAGAGTGTGTTCTAGCCACAAGACCCGTTTGGGCAGGTGAACTAAATCATAGTCTGTTAAGTCCTGTCGAAACAATTTGGCCCACCACACTCACCATTACACACCATGACAAAGAGCATTAGATCCTTCTGATGATTATCTCATGATTTTCTGGAGGGAGAAAGCTGAGTGTCCACATGCACAGTTGTAGTGTGATCCATCTGTGCATGCGCATGTACAGCCCCACCAAGAACAAGCTATGATGCTGTGTCCTACCTCGCCCCCTATCCCACACCCTTCCCCACCAAGGACCTACCCTTCAAATATCTCCTCCTAACTCCCTTGCAGGAGTCAGGCTAAATTTTCCTTCCAGGCACTGGTTCCCTCACAGATAAGTTTAATAAAGACTTGCCTGGTTCAAGGACACCTATTGCTTATTGCTTAATTCTTTCCCTAGAGAGCAAAGAGCCCACTCTTTGGGAGCAGAGATTATACAGAGGCACACTGAAAGACCCATAAGTGAATGTACCATCTGAGACCCATAGTTTTGCTAATTTGAACAGTTTAGTTATTGAGCAGGTTTATTTCATGGCGGATTATAGATTTTAAAATATTAGGTTCAAAGTTAACTATTTTCCAACATTCCTGTATGAGTATTATAAACTAATGGGGAAGATCACATTGCATGTACTTGTTTAATTGAAGAGAGTGAAAGGTTTTCAAGGAAAGCATTTCTCTGACTCGAATTTTCTTCCTAGATCACACCTACAATTGAAGACCCCAGCATTTTTGGTCACATAGAGGAAGTGCTGAAGCAGACATCATGACTTTTTTTTTGAGTCAATTTTCTAATTGGATTCAAGTTTTTTTTAAGTTTTTCCAGAAATAAATATTTAAGTAGAAATTACTTGCCAACTGAAATGTGAATGGTAGAACTTGTTCAAAAAAAAGTACTTGAAGACTAGTGAAAGAACTGTGCCTTCTGTTTGATTAAATTCAGTCGATATTCTTATCAATTGCCTGGAACATGATTGGATGTATCTTTCTAGCACTTTAAGAAAAATAAAGATAATATATGATTTTCAAAAATTTTACCTTCCCCCAACACATTTCAATTCAAAGTGCAATTAATATAAAGCCATTGTCTCAAATTAGGAATCTGCAGCTTTGACCCAAGACCGAAACAAGTTGAAATCAGAAAATAATTATAATTTTCCACATAAAGATTCTGAATATTTTCTAATATTCTTGACATGCTAATGTCATTTTAAATAAAATGGATGAAATAGGAAGTTACAGGTATGATCTGAACTGAAGATTTTCTAGGTAGAAGGACCTGATTTAGTGTACATTTCCTGAAGGGAGGCTGACTATCAAGTACAGCAATATCTTCATGTCATTTGTTCTTAGTCTAGGGAAATCATCTGTCTGGCAAAGAGCCTAGAGGTCATTTATTCCAATCTATTTGTCATGGAGATGAAGGCTCTTTGGAGCCCCTCCTTCTGGCTCAGGTTCTTAGTTGACTAAGTACTTCTTAATGATTCCAGCTTCCTATGGAGAAAAGGAAATGAAATAAGGTGGATAGCCAGGGAAGTTCTGAAGAGAGAAATATAAAAGTTTTTATATTATGCTAAAGATCAAGAAGAGTTTTTAAGAGAAACCAAAAGTTCAGATTTTTATGTGAAATTTCTAACTTTCAAATAGTAACTATATTGAATATATGATTATAGTAACAATGAAAATAATTACTGTGACAACCAAACCATCTTTTCATTTAAACTTTTATAAAATAATTGAACATGACTCTTTAGTAAGTTTATCATTAAATAGCAATTAATCAGAGTAGTTATAGATAATTAAATATTTGGTTTGAGTCCTACATGGTATCATTTATTCAAGAATACATTTCAACACAAAAATATGCCATACCCAATGGATTTGGATGGTTCTCAAAGCATTCCTTAACCTGTCACACCATCTGGAACATTATTTTCAAGGGCACCTATACTAACATGTGTGAGAGAGAATAGATAAAGATTTACTTGTTTATTTGATAAAAATGCTTGTAACCTGTAGAAAAACATCCTGAAAGAGTTATCTTTTTTTTTTGAACAATAGGGTCTAAAATAAATGGCCTCTCAAAGGAAGCGCCTATCTGCTTAAATTGACCTCTTGATTGTTACAACTGATAAAATATATTTATATAGTAATTCCCTTTAATTATTTCAGTAGTTTGAATTAAAACAACTATATAGACATTCAATTACAATTTGAAACTGCTGAGTTCTTTAAACTATTGCCTCTTTTGGTTATTTATCCATTATTACAATTATATTTTTAACAATCCATTTTTAACATCTTAGCATTAACATTGATTATCTTATTTTTCATTTAAGATTTAGTTAAGTTGAAATGGCAGGTTCTATAGCTGGAAGTATATCATTTGCTAGGCATAGACTCAGGCAGATCCAAGAAATATGCAAAGTTTGTATATTTGGTTCTCTTACACATTTTTTTGGTAATCAAATCTAAGAGGACACTTAAGCAAGCAGGCTTAGTTATTTTCCAGCTGAATAGGATTTGAAACTGCACAAAACTGGGGAAGTGTTTTTTTCTTGGATCTGGTTGAAATTTATCTTTTTTGCAAGGTCAGAGAAAGTACTGTTACTGTCATATAAATAAATGTGGGGTAAAAAAACGATGTTCCAGTCATCAGATAACTTAAAGTTTGGAAAGAAAAAAAGGAATTTCCCATTTTAATACTTACCAGAAAAGCACTTTCACCTGATGGTACCTAAAATATTTTGAATTAAATATATCTTTAAAAATAGCAATGTTACTAAAAGTGTTTTTCAATTAATTGAGTGATTTTGTTCATGAAAATGTATTAAATATATGAAAATGAGACCTGCTTTAAATTTGAAAAGCACTTTTATTTATATAAAATTGTATTTATTAAAAATGTGAAAATTCATAGATGGTTGAAAAGAAGAACATTTGAGATTCTAAACTTAATCTATTAAATGGATTTTTAGAATCTGGAAGAAATTATCTTATGCATTGAAAAGTATTTTTTGAAGTCAAATATCTGGAAATTTTTTATCTTTAGATGTTAGAATCTATTAAAAATGTTTCAAATCTCTTACTGAGTGGTTGCTAAAGAGAAGAAACTATTAAGTTGTGTGTAAGAGTAAATACAAATCTGGTTCATATTATAATCAAAGTTTCTATATAAGATTACATTTCATAAGTCATAAGTCAGTATGTTCAGATAAACTGGCAAAGCTCTTTTCCATCACTCCCATAAGCAAGTTTAGTACTCCCTCTTGTGGCAGACTGCTTTTGCTGTTAAATAACATATTGAGAGTTAGTAAAATAGTTACTTTCATTAAAGTCTAAGTTAATTATTAAACTTTATGGGACTAGAAAACAAAGCTTAAACAGAGAACTGGAAGTATTTTTTTTTATTGACAATGGAGAGGGTTTTCTGTTACCATTATCTTTTGACTGAATCTGTTAAACAAAAATAGACATCAAAACAAATGTAATGTACGTGCAAACATAGCAAATTAAATACAAAAAAGAAATTACTAATGACAGGTCTTGCGCTTAATAAGATCAAGCAGCAGAAAATCAGCAGTTAGATAAATGGTATTAGTAAATAGGTTTTACTCTGAAATCTCCCATATAAACAAAGAATAAACAACAGTAACACCACCAAAAAAAGCCACAGGGAAGAGATTACTCTTCTATACTTTTATACACTATATATGTTAATCATTCTGTCTTTCATTTATTTCCTCTGATAAGTCTGACTTCAGGGAAGTCACAGCAAGGCCATCTCGGCTAAAAGCTTATAACATTAGACATGAGTCTGGCTAATGCCCCGATACATTGACAAAAGGGAAGGGTTTCTGGGATTTTGTTTTTTCCAGTGGAAATGAGCCTCAGACTCTGCAGTGGTTAACATTCACTGAACAGGGCTGACTGGCAGTTCAAGATATTTGAATGAACATGTGGTTCTTAGTAAAGAAGTTTTTTTTTTTTTTTTCCCTTGGTCCACAGGTAACAGGAGAAGATAATGTTTTTTTTTTTCTTTATAAACTTTTTTTTTTTAAACAATTGCTTTAGACTCTTGTAAACAGTTTGGCTGTGTTTTGTATTGAAAAGGAGATCAAGCCATCACAGTGCTATTTCTGAAGATATAGGACATCCCTGATTGCCTTTAAAGGTCTATTTTTGGCTCCAGTTCCAGGTTAAATCATTCTTTTTTTACATGATCAGAGGCAGGTTTTCAGCTTTAAGTGTTGACAGACTTGAAGGAGAACATGTAGAAGCATGAAACGTGCTTCCAGGAAACATATCGATTTGACTGCTATGATTCAAAAACTGTAAAAATGGTGAGATGGTAAAATACAAACAGTACTTGGAATTGTCAAATGTTTGCACTTGAGACTCCATGAACCATATATTTTATTTTTTAAAAAATCATATTTATATCCATTTACATAAGACTTACACATTTAAAAAGAAATACATACACAGTAATACATAAATGCCTAGTATATTACAATAAAACATGAGAAAACAAGTGGCTCCATTTCATAAAAGCATCAATTGTACAGAATTTATGATGTGGATGATGCTTATTCAAAGGACTTAAGCATTTTCTTACAATTGTAGTAAACTAATCAAACGTAATATCCGACTCCCCCCAAAATCCCATTTTCAGCTTAATAAACCATTACTTGTGGTTTTTTTCCTTAGATTTCAGTCTTCACAAAAGTTTTCACTGCTTGTCTTCTTAGATGGTAGTGCACTTTAGGTAGAGTAGACTGTAAAGACGACATCTAAAATATTTAATGGACAACGTTAGTTCACTGAAAGATCCCAGGCCAGAAAATCCCCCCTGCTGCTGCTGGTGCAGTTCATGCAACCTGCCTGCTCTGTCCTAAGAGATAATGAATAGCACGTCGTCATCTAGGATCTAACCAATAGCTGTTTGCGATTAACATCTGCTCTTCTCCAATTTTGTGTAGGTGAGCTTAGTAGATAAGATTCGCTTGACTATGTGGAAAGGATAGTAGTAATATAAAGAAAGGTATTCACAGAAAATGCCAGTAGTCCTGAAACATTTACAACTTGCTCAGTAATAAATTTATTTGAATTGACCTTTTCTGTGGAATAGATTTGTATTTCAGTTCCAATCTTTTAGGGCTCTTAAAAAGATACCTCTGTTCAGTTGTAACAAAAACATAATAATTATTATTTTAACAAATCTGGGTCCGTGATATGACATCACTGACTCTCTCCAGTCATAATATACTTGGGGAAAGCTCACATTATTTCTGTCACAAAAGAAACAGTAAAGAATATGTTCTGATTTATTTTAATAAATGGTTAAGGTTGCATTAAAATAGAAATTGGTTGTCCTAGATGCATTTATTGTGAATAAATACTGTTATCCAATTGAATGGTAAAAATCAGGAAACATGAACTAAAATGCCATGCACAAAATAGAGACTGCAAATAGTTACAGAGTAATTCCACCCATCAGTCAAGAGCTAAGAAGCAAGCACTACTCAACATATTAAATAGTCATTTGTAAATTAGTGAAGTATTCAGTTGCTGGGAAATTATGTTACATGTAGAAGCTATTACAAACAGTATTTTGGAAAGCCTCTTATTTAGCCAAATCATTTTATACTTTCGATCATGCCTAATTAGATGCCAAATTGTACACCGCAATTATATTTTTAATGTTAGGGTTTTACATTCTGAAATTAAATCTCTTATCTGAAAGCTTTTTGTTTTATCAGCAGCAGCTTCAAATAGTGACTCAAATCAGGCAACTAACACTCAGATTAGGCCGCACAGACCAACAATACATTGCATGGAGCTTTCAGTTCAAGGCAATGAATAAACAGCACAAGATGAGCTGTTCCTCCGCTTATAACTGCTTCCTTTCCCCATCCTGTGCACATATTTGGATCTAAATATTTCTCTTAAAAATTCTTTTTCCAAGACATAAATTCATTGTAAATGGTAATTTTGGTAAAGTACTTTTGGGGGAAAAAACATTTTATACGCAACTGACATTTATAATCTAGCAAGCCACAGTTTTACTATTAAGGCTTTAAAAATAAGATTCCATTTTTATATGGCTTTGGAAGTAGAGTCCAACAACTAGTATTTCTCTAAATACAAATGCCTTATAACTTATTATTATATGTCAGGGCTTAATGTTGGTCTCATCCACCGTTCTTACAAAGTACTTTCATTTTGTTCCTATGATAAAAGCCCCAGACACTCAAAATTCGTATTTGTTTTCAACAAAGATATATCACACTGATGAAAAACAATATACTAGAAGTTCAAAACTTTCAGTTATAGATTGCTTTTAAAATGAAACCACCTCATCTCATCTTCCTGTCTGCCACTATTTGATTCCGTGTACCTACTAAAATAACTATCTACTTTAGCTTCCTCTATAAAAAATATTCACTTAAAAGTTTACTATTCCCTAAAATCCAACTCCCATTAATATATGCTTATGTGCATCAATAGAAAATACTGCTAGAATGTAAAAGACCATGTGTTAGAAACCCACTAATGTGTAAGAAGAAAATGACAGGCCTCCAAAGGCTCGACCTTATACCGTAGCAGACAGGCAGTGACAGGACTTCCTAGAGTTACAGTCTGAAGATTCCTTTTCCACCCGCTAGCAACTCAAAGGGGTTATTGCATATCTCTACTGCTAAGTCACCCCAGAGTATGCTGGAGATTTACTAATCTATGAAGTTTCCATTTTTTTGGAGGCTTGTTTTTGTCAGCCAAGGAAAACTACTCACAGCAAGTCAGTGCTGACTCCTTTGAGTGGCTTGTCAGCATGAGTATGTGCGAACAGTGGAGTTGTCTAACCTCTGCAGTCTTGATGAGGCAACTGCAAATGAGAAAAGGGCTTTAGAGTGACTCGGATGATGGAGTACAGAATTTCAGATGAGAAAGATTTCTTTTCCGGCCTGAAGGGATCCTGACGTATTAGTAGATCTTCTTTCTCTCAGCTAGAAGCCACTTACATTCTTTTTCTCTAGACCAAGTTACTTATGAATGTGTATTCCAGTGTGACCAGGTGAGCTTTTGAATTGTCTTGTACTCCTCTTTAGAGGAAATCTGTACTAAGAGCAGCTTCCCAGTGTTGTGCTGTTTTTGAAGGAAAGCTTGCTCTTACAAAGAATTCAGTATGGTGAGTATTTTCCCCTCCAAGGATTACAGAAGTTCTACACTAATTTTTATCATGTTAAATTCCTCATGAATTTTGCTAACATGTTCCATAATATCAAAAAGATAGAAGAGGGCCTCCCCGGTGGCGCAGCGGTTGAGCGCTGGGTTGCGAAGCTGCCCCGCAGCCTCTGCAGCGCCAGTTTGATCCCCGGCTGCTCCCCGGCCACCGGAGGAGGGTCCCACATGGCACGCAGACCTCTCCTGCCGCCCACTGCTCCCCTCAGCAGTGTACTTCGGTCCTTCTGCCTGCTCTGCTCCCCACTCTGGCTCTGGTGAATTCTCTCACCCTCCTGTGCTTCTGACTGTACCCAGTGCTTGTATAAATAAATAAATAAATCTTTAAAAAAAAAATCTGCACTACTTAAAAAAAAAAAGTTAGAAGAAATGTCAGTCAAAGATCATGATTTACATTGGCAGTAATTTTAAGAGCCATGATAACTATATCCTGGAATAGAATTAATGATTGTAGGTGATTGTCTTAATAAAATAGTGGAAGTATTGGTTTTTCAATGCCTACCAAGTAGAAATAACATAACTAACAACTTGAAAGTTGTCTCTCTGCCTGTGTGGCTGATTTCCTTTGAACAGTATGTGACACAGACTAATGTCCACAGAAGGAAAT